CCCCTACTGTCTGTGTCCATGGGTTATGCTTATATGCATGCGTACAAGTCTTTTGGTTGATTTCTTACCCCCCTCCCTGCCTACCCTCTGAGGTTGGATGGTCTCTTTGATGCTTCCTATGTCTCTTGATCTATTTTTGTTCATCAGTTTATGTTGTTCATTATATTCCACAAATGAGTGAGATCAAGTGATATATATCTTTCTCCGACTGGCTTATTTCACTTAGCATAATGCTCTCTAGGTCCATCCATGCTGTTATAAATGTTAAGAGTTCTTTCTTTTTCTTACAGCAGCATAGTATTCCATTGTGTAGATGTACCATAGTTTTCTAATCCATTCATCTGCTGATGGGCACTTAGGCTGTTTCCAAATCTTAGCTATGGTAAATTGTGCTGCTATGAACATAGGAGTGCATATATCCTTCCTGGTGGATTTTTCTCATTTCTTGGGATATATTCCTAGAAGTGGGATTACTGGATCAAATGGAAGTTCCATTTTTACTTTTTTGATGAAACCCCATACTGTTTTTCATAGTGGCTGCACCAGTCTGCATTCCCACCAGCAATGCACGAGGGTTCATACCATCATAGTAGGGGTCTTTAATACTTCATTGACACCACTGTATAAATCCTCTAAACAAAAAATCAGCAAAGAAACAGCAATCCTAAATGACTCATTAGATCAGATGGAATTAATTGACATCTTCTGAACATTTCACCCCAAAGCTGCAGAATATATATTCTTCTCAAGTGTACACGGAACATTTTCAAAGATAGAACACATATTGGGACACAGGCAGAAGATAGAAATCATATCAAGCATCTTCTCAGATCACAATGGCATAAAATTAGAAATCAACTACAATTAAAACAGTGAAAAAAATCAAACACTTGGAGGCTAAATAGCATGCTATTAAATAATGAATGGGTTACCAAAGAGATCAAAGAAGAAATAAAAAGCATCCTGGAAACAAATGACAATGAAAACACAATCTAAAATCTATGGGACACAGTGAAAACAGTCTTGAGAGGGAAGTTCATAGCTCTACAGGCCTAACTCAAAAAACAAAAACGTAATAAATTATCTAACCCTACAAGTCAAAGAATTAGAAAGAGAGCAACAAGAAAAACCCAGAGTAAGTAGAAGGAAGGAAATAATAAATATCAGAGTGCAAATAAATGACATAGAGACAAAAAAAAAAATACAAAGATCAATAAAATCAAGAGCTAGTTCTTTGAACAGATAAACAAGATTGATGAACCTCTAGCCAGGCTTACCAAGAAACAAACAGAGAGGACCCAAATAAATAAAATCAGAAATGAAAGAGGCTAAATAACAACAGATCTCACAGAAATACAAAGGATTGTAAAAAAAATACTATGAAGAACTCTACTCCAACAAATTGGACAACCTAGATGAAATAGACATATTTCTAGAAAAATACAATCTTCCAAAACTCAATCAGGTTGAATAAAAAACCTGAATAGGCCGATAACTACCTATGAAATTGAAGCAGTAATCAAAAACCTTCCAGCAAATAAAAGCCCTGGTCCAGATGGCTTCACAGCGGAGTTTTACTAAACGGTCAAAGAAGAACTAAAACCTATCCTCCTCAGGCTATTCCTAAAAATTCCAGAGGAAGGCACACTTCCATACTCTGTATGAATTTCTAATAAGTTTCTGGAAAATGCTGATGCTGCTGCTCCTGCCATGGACCAGATTTGAGTTGCAGTTATTCAGAATTAACTCACCTCTCTTTTGTCATCATTTTCCTGTGGTAACCAGCAAAGGATCATGTTTAGTCACACAATAACTAAAATAGTATTTTGGAGGGGAGGGGTTACATTTTATAGAAGCCGTTTAAAGGCTATAAATTATACTTACCTATGTACCTTCCATATACAGGGTAGGGTAAAAGTGGGCTTACAGTTGTTTGTATGGAAAATAATACAAGAATAAACTCTGTTTCACCTACTTGCAACTATAATCCTACTTTTGCCCCACCCTGTATATATGTGACCTAGGTGATGTAGTAAACAGCATTGGGGATGCATAGCCCAGAAATCAAGATACTTAAAACAGAAAGAAATCTTGATTAACAAAAATTTGTAAAACGTTATTAGTACTACTTTGACCGCTGTTGAGAATTTTGAAATTTAGAACAATATGATTTGGGATTTGGAAACAGTGTTTCAGCAAAAGTGAATCTATGTATTACTGAACACCTTTTTTATTTTTGCTTTTCCAGATCTAATTACTTGTTTAGACACTGCATCCAGCTTTTTGGAACCTGAGTTCAGGTATGACCATATTTGTGCCCTTTTTTCCCCCTTAAATTTACCTTTATCAACTTCATCCTCATTCTTTATACACTTAAGATTAATGTACATTGTGACATAGACATTGTTTTAAGACCTCACTCAATAAACCAGAGTTTATTTAAAGCCATTGAGTTACCATGTTTACATTTTTCATTAATTGTAGCATTTGGATCCTCTCCACAATGAAAATGTAATTGTAATATACTTTCAAAGTAAAACTAGTTGCTCTTCAAAATCTGGCAAAACTGCTAATAAAAGTAGAAGAGTTATCTATATATATAAAAGCCTTAGTGACCGTTATGTCCGAACGACCGGTCAACCAGTTGTTATGGCACGCACTGACCACCAGGGGGCAGAGGCTCAACCCAGGCACTGCTCCCTGGTGGTCAGTGCGCTCCCACAGCCAACCTTCCATGGCCAGCCAACTTCCCCAGTCCCTCCCCCGGCTGACAAACCTTCCGCGGCCCCTCCCTCTGTCCCTCTGGCCCCGTCCCTCTGGCTCTGGCCAGCAGCCGGCAGGCCCCAGCCGGCATGACTGGGCGAGACGGCCCCGATAGGCCCTGATCACCAGCCAGGCCTAGGGTCCCCACCCATGCATGAATTTCATGCACCGGACCTCTAGTTTATATATATAAAACCCTATATGACTGGTCGCTATGATGCGCACTGTAGGGGGCAGGCTGGCTGGCCAACCTCCCGTGGGTCCAGCTGGACCCCACCCATGCACAAATTCATGCACCAGGCCTCTAGTCCTATATAATAAAAGGGTAAAATGAAAATTGACCCTAAACCACCCATGCACAAATTCATGCACCAGGCCTCTAGTGCATGAATATAATAAAAGGGTAAAATGAAAATTGACCCTAACGGTGGAATGACTGGTCGCTATGACGCACACTGACCACAAGGGGGCAAATGCTCAATGCAGGAGCTGCCCCCTGGTGTTCAGTGTGCTTCCACAGGAGGAGCGCCGCTCAGCCAGAAGCTGGCTCTTGGGTGGCCAGCACAGCGGCGGTGTCAGGAGCCTCTCCTGCCTCTGCAGCAGCGCTAAGCCGTTACTTAGACATTGCCCAAGGACTCCCGGGCTGCCAGATTGATGTCTGTCTGACTGACAGCTTAGGCCCAATCTCCCAGGGAGTGGGCCTAAGCCATCAGTCGGACATCCCCTGAGGGGTCCTGAACTGCGAGAGGGCGCAGGCCGGGCTGAGGGACTCTCCCCCCCCGCCCCCCTGAAGTGCACGAATTTTCATGCACTGGGCCTTTAGTCTTTTCTATAAAAGGACAAGAGAATGGTTTAGGCTATTATGGAATTTCAGTGTTCTTACCCAAGTAGCATTTCTACTACAATTTCCGTGCTTTATGCCCTCATTCCATGCTTCGACTAGAATGAACCTCTAATTGACTTTTCCTTTTATTTCTAACCTTTGCTGGCCTTATGCTGCTATTGAGGTTGCTGCCAAGTTATTTTCTAAAGTACATATCTCATCATTCCCCAGCTTACAAATCTCCAGGTGCTCCTAATTAAGACAAAAGTTATCCAGATTCCTTAGCTTGGTGTTCAGGATCCTGGCCCAGGGTCTTGGCCATTTTTCTAATCTCGTCTCATGCATTCATGTTGAAATAGCTGTGGATCGCTTACACTGCTCTGAACTCTCAGAACTTTGGCCTGGGATCCCTTTACTCCTCTCTACTTGGCAAAGTCATTCTCATCTTCTGAGACCATCTCACTAACCTCCCTGCAACTCGCTGCCTCTTCACAAAGAACCTTTGCTTTGTCTTCAGAAATGGTTCTGTCTCCATGGGATGGGTCGCTCTTCAGCACTTGTGGGGGATCCTGGTCTGCAGAGTTAGCTCTGGCATCAGTGTATGGCACACAGCCTGGTAGAGGGTATGCTGTCTTGTGCCCTCCACTCTCTAGCTTCATTGTCACTGCCCAAATGCGAGCTGCCATCCTCTCTCGCCTGGACTACTGCGCTGCCTGCCTAACTGTCCCAGCGTCCACTCATGGTTCCTTCCTAGTGGTCACAGTACTCTCTTAAAAATATGAACCAGATTATGTACAGGTACTGTCAAAAGCCTTTACTGACGTTCTGTTTTTACTTAGAATTGTATTCCAGACTCCTCACCATAGCCCACAAGGCCTCTGCATGATCTGGCCCCTGCCCCCACTTTAGCCTCCTCTCACACTAACTCCCTTGCTGACTGCAGTTCACCTGCACTGGTCATCCTCAGTTCCCCACACACAGTTCCCTGCCTCAAGGGCATGCAGTGCCTTTTGATGAGGATGCGTTACACTTCTTCAGAGCCCATTCCCTGACGCCCTGACCCAGGCAGTGCAGAGTCTGTTGTGAGCAGACCCTGGAGGCATCTGCCACTTACCAGCCACGTGACCCAACAGTTCCTCAGTGTCCTCATCTGTAAAATGAGGATAATAATAGTACCTACCACGTAGGGTTCTTACGTGGATTACTGGAAGCACTTAGAATGCTGTCTAGCACATAGTAAGTCTATTCCAAATGTGTATTACTTTTATTAAGTTAGATTCCTCCCAATTACTTCATAGAGTTCCTTTTCTTCATAGCCGAATCATAATCTAATTAACTATCTGTGTGTCAGTTTAATGTCTTCCCCACCACTGGAAGGTAAACGCATTGAGGACAGGAGCCATGTTTGTTTGGTTGACATTTGTAAACCCTGTGTGTCACACAGCCCAGCACTTAGACATTCAAGTAAATGTGTTGAGTGCATAGGTGGGTAAGTGAGTGCGTGAATGTATGAGTGAATGAAAGAATACAAAACATTCTTTTAGATCAACATAAATTTGATCAATAGGGGATGGGTAAAATAAATATGGTTTATCCACAAAATAGAATATCATGTAGCTATTAAATATGGTGAATAGATTTTACAGTAGAAATATGTCTGTATTCATTGTGAAATGAAATGATCAAAGCTGTTTGTAAATAAGAGACAGTTGTTGTAAATTTGTGGGTAAAGATGTGTGTGGGCAGATCGGAGAAAGTCTGAAAGGGTTTTTAGGAGTGCTGGTTCTCAGAGTGGTGAGATGATGATGATGATATTCACATTGAACTGAAAAAATGGATATGTGATGCTTTTGGTCTTTTCCCCAAAAAAACACAGTAGTATATGCCCTTTAACTTGTTTTTATTTCATAGTAAGTACTGTCCAGCTGGTTGTCTGCTTCCTTTTGCTGAGATATCTGGAACAGTCCCTCATGGATATAGAGATGTAAGTTGCCTGTAGACTATGTTAAAGTTGTGATATGACTTTATGTTTTTAAATTTCAGACTAGGTAAATGTGTACCTATTGCACATCTTTGTTGTGATATTTTTCTAGGAATTGTTTGTTTTTGGAAATATGTAATGTTTTATTATTTTTCTTCTAAAAAATGTATGTTATGGCATCAATAATCTGTCCCATGTTTATTGAGAAAACTGCCCAGATAAACTAATTTCTTGAGGAAGTGTAAGTCTTATTTATGAATTATCAAAAGAAAAGAAAAAAACTGACTTTTTTTTCCCCTTTCTCAAGTCCTCGCCATTGTGCATGGCTGGTGTGCATGCAGGAGTGGTGTCAAACACCCTGGGTGGCCAGATCAGTGTTGTAATTAGTAAAGGTATCCCGTACTATGAAAGTTCTTTGGCTAACAACGTCACGTCTGTGGTGTAAGTATACATGCTGTTTATAATAAGCAGGCTGGGCAGGGGCGGGATGGGGACTGGTAAGGCCTCGGCAATGTAACAGTTAGTGGTGTTCAGGAAATACCATTTGTGCACTTAGCTCTTACATTTTTGTGTGCTCAGTGTCTGCATGTACTGAGGAGGACAGGCAAGGTTGTATTACTTGGCTTGTTCTCTGTCCAAAGGTAGTCATTTGCAAGCTTGATTGGTTTGTTTCTTCTTTTCTAAGTGTTGAAAAAGCGTAGAATAAGAGTCTAGAAGTATTTTGTTGAATCCATACTTGATATTAAAGACCAGAACACGTAACTACTGTGTTCCTTATAGCCTGTGTGACCCAGGATGAACTGAGAATAATTGAAACACTTTGATGTGAATTAAATTTTGACATTAATCAGAAGTGGTAGTGTTATGAATCTCCCTCTCATCCTCAGAGAATATATTCAGAATGTATTTTCATGGTTCCCATGACATTCCACTATTTTACAAAACTTAGACTAGGCATAAATAAGCAGAAGTTCAGACATTAGATAGAAATCCAGTACTCCTCATCTGTGTCTGTGAATCTTGCCTCTTGGGTATGCTCAGTCCTACACACAGTACTGAGTCTGTCTGAAACCAGCTTCTCTTCAGAGGCCCTGGGCCAGTTTCCATGCAGAAGACAGGAGTGGACCACACCCTCAGCTGTAGAAAGCAGGACTCAGCAGATTTTTTTCTGTAAAGGACCAGCTAGCAAATATTTTAGGCCTTTCTGGGGCACATGGCTCTGTCACTTCTCCCTTTTTTGTTTCATTTACAACCCTCTAACCATGTAAAAATGATGCTTTGCTCGCGGGCCACACAGAACAAGCCATGCCAGGGCTATATACCCATCACTAGTATGCAGTCAGCTTCCTTTCCTTCTTTTGGTTTCTTCTAGATGCTTTTATGAAGGTTCTTTCTTTCCCATGGTCTATCTTTGGACAGAGTTTTTTATGAATTCTCTTTCTCATCTATACTAATAAAAGGGTAATATGCTAATTAGACCAGATTGACCAGAAATCTTCTGGACGTCCAACTTCCTTTCAGACAGTTAGGGGGCGACCAGGCCAGCAGGGGGGAAATTAGGGGGCAATCAGGCCGGCAGGGGACCAGTTAGGGGGTAACCAGGCCAGCAGGGGGCATTTAGAGGGCAAACAGGCCAGCAGGGGGCATTTAGGGGGCGACCAGGCCAGCAGAGGACCAGCTAGGGGGCAACCAGGCCAGCAGGGTACCAGTTAGGGGGCGATCAGGTCGGCAAGCAGAGGCAGTTAGGGGTGATCAAGCAGGCAGGCAGGCAATCGGTTAGGAGCCAGCAGTCCTGGACTGAGAGAGGGATGTCCAACTGCCGTTTTAGGCCCCATCCCACAGGAATCCCGGATTGGAGAGGGTGCAGGCCGGGCTGAGGGACCCCACCTTCCTGTGCACGAATTTCATGCACTGGGCCTCTAGTACTTAAATAAGGACAAGTTGCATCCACTTGTCATGACCTGGATGTTATGCTCAAGGCAGGAGCCCCAATCTTTGAAATCAAAGTGCAGTGCTGCCCTGCAACACCATAACTTGTTCTAGACATGCTGATTCCCTGTAACAAATGCAGTCTCTCTCAGCAGACTTACCACTTTCAGTGCACCTTCACCAGAAGCAGTTGCCATAGGAAAGGCTTAGGAGTCTATTTCATGAAAAAGAGATAAAAGAGAAATATATACTCAAATATATACTCAAAATAAAAGAGAAATGTGTTACGAGAACACATTTGCACAATCATATGAAACTAGGAACTAGATACTTGTAGAGACAGTTATTTATGCTGATGTCAGAAGTTCTGCTTAGAAAATAGACTTTTAATTTTAACTAGGAGTTTATCAATTGTCCAATATATAGCCAGAGAATACTCTTAGTTCTTTATACATTTAACACAAAAAGGTTTACTAAGACAAATATGGGGAACTCATGTGTTATGTGATATGTCACACAAAAAAATACTTTCTCTCTTTCAGGGGACACTTATCTTCAAGTCTTTTCACATTCAAGACGAGTGGTAAGCCTTTCATGGACTTTATAACGTACTATAATTTTTATAACACTGGATGCCAGACATTGTGCTAGTTGCTGTTTGTTGTACTTTCTTATTTAGTTGCCACAATAACACCTATTAGGTTAGAGGGGCATTTAATAAAATAATGAATGAAATAAGTGAAGTTCTATGTTAATAGGAAAATGATGATGGAAGCAAGGAATTTTTTTCTAGGAAAGGTGATTTTTGAACTTGTTTGAAAAAGTAATTCATTCATTTGACTGAAAATATGTGAGTGCCCTCCTTTATTCGTCAGGGACTGTTCTGGTCTAGGAAGACAACAGTGAGCATAATCAACAAAATTTTGCTTTCCTGGAGCTTAAGTTCTGGTAGCGAGAGATTGACAATAAATAGTGAATAAGTCAGTTATTATTTATGTATTGTTTATAATATTATAAAATATGTAGAAAATGAAGGAGGAAGGCTAGGCAGTGCAGGAGGTACTGATGGGATCAGGACAAGCCTCAGGGAGAATGGAACATTTGAGCAAACACCTGAAGGAGTGTGAGTCACCCATTGACCTGGGAGCTTGTTCTGGGGAGAGGGTAATATATCACCATTAAACTAATGATTGCTCATAAATAAATATACACAGTTCCTGACAAGACACAAAACACAGAAACAAAAAACATATGCCTAGTTTTGAAATTTTTCTATTACAGTGTAGTATTTGCTTTAGTGTGTACAGGTACAATAGAAAGTTTGCAGTGAGCAAGTTTTTATAGATTTTAAGTTTATAGCTGGAAACAGTGACTTTCTTTTTTGTTTCAGGTTGTTATGGAACTCTGGGCATGGAGTCTGGTGTGATTGCCGATCCTCAGATAACAGCTTCATCTGTGCTGGAGTGGACGGACCACACAGGGCAGGAGAACAGCTGGAGACCCGAAAAGGCCAGGCTGAAGAAACCGGGGCCTCCCTGGGCTGCCTTTGCCACTGATGAGTATCAGTGGTTACAAATAGATCTCAACAAGGAAAAGAAGATAACAGGTTAAGAGATGTAATTTTTTAGAAAAATTTATGATTTTTTTTAGAACAGCTTATGATTTTATTTTAAAACCTGGTGACATCTAAGATTTTTATAGAAACTTAAGTCACTGCAAATTTAATTATGTGGTTTTAAGTTTTTTTTACTGGTGTTAGTGTTACTAAAGATGGTTTTATAAAAAGCATGACAGAGGAGAGGAGTTGGTATTTGAGTCTTATTAGCTTTTCTTATTGTAATAAGATTCTTTTAAGGTAGTGTTTCAGTAAAGGAATCTGGAGACATCTGAAATAGCCATCTATTATAGTCATTAAAAGAAATTTATGTTCAACGAGTGTACTCTAAGTGCTATAAATAATATTCCACATGTGCTGAGTATGAATTTAATTATTTAGAGCAATTTAGCAAGTGATCAGCATAATTGGTTGGGATTGGTTTTGTTAAAGATTTATTTTGCTTTGGTACCGAAAATAATACTAGTAATCATCTTTAATCTGTTCATTCCTAGGAAGTCATTTTTACTCCATAGGTGCAATATATTTTACAATGATATGAACACGGGCTGCTAAAATAGAATGGTTCTTTCCTTATGTGTGCTCATAATTCTCCCAGCCTCTACAAGGGAACAAAGCCCAGGATTTCGGTACTATTTAATGAAACCTTGCACTTAGATGTGGTAATGTGTCATGGGCAAAGATGTTTGAACAGTGTTTATGTTTCAGTGGTGAACAGACTTCAAAGACCAGACCATGTGCATTAATGAAAGCAACTCTCCATTCCTCAGGCATTGTGACCACTGGCTCCACCATGGTGGAGCATAACTACTATGTGTCAGCCTACCGAATTCTATACAGTGATGATGGGCAGAGGTGGACTGTGTACAGAGAGCCTGGTGTGGAGCAGGATAAGGTAAAATGATTAACAAGGTATTTTGAAGAACATTTTTTTAAATGAACCTTTGCCAAAAGTCACAGGAGCTCCTGTGTGATCTAAAAGTTAAATATCATTTGATCTTACTCTGCCCTCTTCTGGTCATTTTAGCATGGTTAGGAAATTCTCAGTGGTTCTAGGTCACTTTTGATGATTGTGAGGGTTAAATAATTTATTGATTCTTTTTTCACTACATTTTAATTCAATTTTTAGATACTTTATTAGGAAATTCTAAAAGGGAACTTATAATTTCTTGTCTTTAAAAAGCTTTTCATTTCAATACACAGAATGTTGGAAAAGCCTAATTTGTTTCCAGATTTCTACTGTGGTACATAAATTAATAAACATGACAGTGCTGAAACGTGCTAGACCAGCTGAAGGGGTTGAGAAGGGTTGAGAGTAGGCACAGGTGGCTCCCATCTAGATGTTTATCACTTTCACCTGGCTCCTGGCCCTTGCTCCACCACAAGGATCTTATAATTACAAGAGTCCATGTCCCAGGGAAGGTAGAGTCCTCTTATCTAGAATTGATAGATGAGCACATATTTTTAACAAGTTTTGATAGTTACACGATATTATCAGTTCTCTGTGAGTTTTGTTTTATTTACATGATACTATCAGTTCTCTATCAGAAATATGATACTAGAGGCCCAGTGCACAAAATTCATGCATGGGTGGGGTCCCTAGGCCTGGCCAGTGATCAGGACCTACTGGGGCTGTCTTGCCCAGTCCCGATTGGGGCTGGGCTGGCCGGGGCCTCCTGCCGGC